GTGTATTCTTGCTGTTTTGTGCAAATTTAAGGGGCTGTAATTAATATTTTTTTCTCTTTTTTGTGGCAACTTTAAATCTTCAAATCCTTAGTCTGTGAAAAAAACCAGTTCTTTCATTCTCAGCCTTCTATATGTTGTTGCCCATTAGTGATTTCTCTGGTCAGTCTGATGTAACTGAGTACATTTTAACTATATTTTAAAACTTACTTAAATACTATGGTGTGCACAAAAATTCCAATGAAAAGAAAATCAGGGAGTGGGGAGAAGGAGAAGAAAGAGGTGAGGAAGAGAGATTTTACCCTATGGTCATGGCAGAAATGTTTTGTGTCTCATATTGACAGGTTCATGTTTACTTGGCAAAGAGACTACCAGATAAATAATGAGAGCTGATTCTAAGGTGGCCATTGCCAGATTTAATTACTCAGTTGTGTTTGGAAAAAGTTATGTTTTCCATCAGTGAAACAGTAAAAATAATTACAGCATTAACATGCCGTTGCAGTGGAACTTTAATGAGGATATATTGACAATTGTCTTACTTTACCGATATATATTAGAATAATGAGCGAAAAAGTTTTAAAATTATTCCCCTGCTTAAGATCAGAAGAATGTAGAGATTTTCCAGTTAGATTTTTTCCATATGTTACTCAATTAAAGCCTGCTGGAACACTACAGTAATGGGTTAGTCGTCTTTCACACGATGTATTTATCCCACTTCATGTACAGTAGGGCGGATTAACAAGGATTTTATGAAGGAATGTTGTATTAGGTTGGTTTTGGTAAACTTTCAGCCCGATAGTGGATCCATAAATGACAAATGCACTTTATCAAAGAAGCAATGGATCTAGAAAACCAGCAGACAAGTTACCTTTTCAATAGTATCAGGTAACTTTCTCTGCCTTTGTTTTGCTGTGTTCAATATGGCACATACATAGTGGCCTCAGTTTGAAAGGTTAAAAGCTTAATGGTATCAGACTGTCATCACTCCCCTTCACTGCCCTTGCATGTTTTGGAGATGTTCAGCATACATCACGTAAGAAGTGCTGTCTCTGGGAAAGAATGCTGGTGATTTTTGCTTCTGATCACGGTGTATCAGTGAATCTGTTTGATGTTGTGGATTCACAGAGCCTGGATTTTGAAAAGTAGAATTACTGTACTATTACTATAGAATTACTATCACATTTCCAATAAAGTAACTTTTTAAAAACTCCCACCATTTGCGCTACAGAACTCGTATCTGCTCATATGCCCTGTATCAATCCTAGTATTGACGCAACTTGGAATTATTCTCATAAACGCTACCCTTATAAACACTTCCCTACAAAAAGGGAAATATTTCCTACATTGTGGGCTCGGCTGGGAATCAAGCTCGGGTGTCTTAAGTCCCAGTCTTGTGCACTACCTGTAGAGTTGAACCTTTCTCTCCTATGACATAGAGACATACTTTGTTGTATTTTCCATCAGGCTACATACAAAATTCACTGTTGTTCAGCATCTCTATGTTTCAGCCACGGTGTGTGTCTTTTAGTCTGCAGATTGGCATAAATTCATCTTCTTTCTTTTTTTTTTTTTTTTTAACTGTATATCCAATGTTTTGATGCACTTGAAACTGTTTTGCTTGATAGGATTATGACAATTTTCTGAAATGAAAGCAGCAGCAATATGATCTGTGGCAGCAGCGATTCCGAGTCCTTAATAGCACTGCAAAATCAATAGGAATAGAGCTTTCGTGCACGGTGTCTTCAGACAGGGGGGGAGCTTGTTGCAAGATTGCCATAGAAACCCTTGTGGAGGATGTATAAGTCATCTTGCCTCGTTTATTCTCATCTAATAACAAGTGAATTTTCTACAGCCAGATACTTCAAATGAGACGTGCTTTTGGCAGGCTCCTTTCATCTTTCTGAGGCAAGTAGTATCTTTCTAATTCATAGAATTAGAGTGATATCTGGAAGGAGTGTGGCCAAGTGATTTGGGGTGATTTGGGGCTTTATCTCTAGGCTGCACTCGGAGGAGGTGGAGGCAGCAATGGGGCACAGCAGGGGCCTTGGCTGTGGCGGCCATGTCTGTGCTGCGCTCGTACAGGCGTACGCAGGCACGTTTTAAAATACCTTGCCTGAGTCTTGGCCTAGGCCTGAGAGGTCGCAGCCTAGTGCTCGGTTTGGCCCCGTACGGCGTGCTTGCAGGACGCTGTGGGCGTCCACCACAACCCAGGACGCTGTGGCTGGTGTCCGAGCCCCCGCGTGGTGGAGGGCCGTGGCGTTAGAGCGGTGCTGGCGTTGCAGGAGGCCCTTGTGTTAGGAAGGCCCTGCCGTCCTCCTCGGCAGCGCCTGGGAGGTGTGCGATGTCCTCTGGGGAAGCAGTGGAGATGCTGGCGGGGAGGTGGGAGGCCGGCTCCATGGGGCCTGAGGGGAGCTGAGCAGGCAGAGATGGGGCAAGGAGCTGGAAAGGAGAAGGTCTCATGCCTCCCTCTCGTTCTCAGCCCGTCGATCAAACAGAAAAAAAATGGTCACTCTCTGGTGCCCAGGTCTGTAGAGCCAGGTCTGTAGAGCGACAAAAGTCTTGAAAATTCAAGTTATGGAGAAGATAAAGGGAAAATATGCCATCTATTTAGAGGTTAATTGTGTATCAAAAGCACGTAGGCTTCACGACCTGTGGGCCGCGTAAGGCATACCTGTGTCTGGTCACACCAGAATGGAGCTCAAGAGTTGGGCTCAGCAGACGGCTGCACAGAGATACACTGTGTGGGGGTGTTGTTGGTAGTCCTCCATTTCTCCAAAAGAAAACTGTTTCCATGCTTTAAACAAATAAGTGTGTAGTAACAATCTCTAATCAACATATTTTGCATTGTTTTTATTTCTGAGTCAGGCCCCTCTCCCAGTTGCCAGTAAGCCATCGCTGTGCCAACGTATCTCTTCCCTTTCCCAGCCTGTGTAGCTTGGAAGCCTTTTTTGCGGTTGTTTTTTTTTTTGATCCGTGTCTAAGGTGACACTTGGGTTAACAATAATGAAACAAAAAAACTGTAAGGCTGGAATGCAAGAAGTACAGTTTAACAAGCAAACAGGTTGGAGAACCTCAGTCACATTACCACGTTCCTCATCCTTTAGCTGTCCTTCTTTATTTGGATATATCATATAATTAAGCTATAAACCAGTAATCAGCTTAACTTCCAACCCAGTCCAGTGCAACCATTATTCATCCTAAATAGCTGTGGTGTGAATACAGCTATCGTATACAGCATGAAATGATGATCTCAGGTGCTAAGGATTTGCATACTTTTTTTTTTCATACCTAGGCAAGATTTTTTGCTGCTTCATGTTCCATAGGGTGACACGTGAATGCGCTGTGCATTTTTTTGAGACTTGATATATCTACAGTAAACTTTCTTACAAAAGAATTACCCACTCATGCCTGAGTGTCCAGTGGTATTTACACAGAATAGAGAAATTCAACCTTTTATTTTATATATGTAGGAAATCCACACTTTTTTTGTGACAAAAACTACTGTATATTTTGAAAAATTGTTTTTCCTCACATAAAAAATATAAATATTTGTAAGAAAATACTGCAGTTTGTGTTTCCAACATTATAGACTTGTGTCTTCTATGTTTATCTTGATAAAGAAGAGAACACCATCACTGAAAGGACTAAAGAATTAACTACAGAAAAAATTGTAAAATGTTCTCTATAGACTTCCATGCAGGAAAAAAGTGATCAAAAACTACTGAAAGAAATTAGATCAATTTATAAGGTGTTCACTCCACTGACAAATGGCTTGCATTTTTAAAAATTAGAATAGTAAATAGATGGAAGAATTAAGTATACTCCTGCTCCAGCAGCACTCTAAAGAATATGGTGCAAGGATGTAAAGTTATTTTTAGATGAGAATGGAAATTGTATATATAATTTTTGTCAATGTAAGACATTTGAACTTCCTCAGTTCTGGTTTCCAGTGAATGGTGTTCCACTTCCCCATTAAAAGATTATGTGCACAGAAGTTTATGGGCTATTCTGTATTGTCCTCAGAATAAATGAGTACACTTAACGCTGCCCAGAACAATTCCTCTCCTCTGGTCTTTTCAGATGTGCGTTCTTTGTAGGCTCACGAACAGTTGCTTTTAATCACATTTCAAGGTAGTGTAATAAACATGAATATAATATTGTTATTCCTTACTGCAGGGCATCTTGGAAGTTCTGATCAATAAGGCTGGCTTTCGTATACTTAAGGAGGGGAAACCACTCCAAAGAAACAATGCTTCAGTGCCAAATTGGCCTGCAGGGCCATAGGATAATCTGATTTCACAAACTCATAATTGCTTTTTACAATTTCAGCTCACATTTGTCAAAAGCAAAGAGGACTCCTGTCCTATTGAATTTTCAGTTGTCTCTAGTGCCTCCATCACAAAGTCCCATAATTAGATGATTTTTGCTGAGACCATAATTCCTTTTATAAAGTATCTACATACAGCCTGTTTGATTGCCATGGTCAAACTCCATTGCTTAAAATGAATCTTGAGAGTGAAGCAGACTTTCCTTCTGCATGTTAATGAGGACAACAGATAGCAATAGAGTGGAGAGTTGATGAGTGAGAGAAGTTGGAAGCCTACCTTGCTGGAACATACCTATTTAGCATATTATTATTTCTATCACTTCAGCTCTGCAAGCCCCACAACCTGGGTTCTACCTTTCTATGCACTGCACAGATGAAGAGTAAGATGCATGTCCCTTAATAATTGAGATTTTACTGGTTTTAAAATGCCAAAATGCTAACCTGAAGGAGAAAACATCAGTCTCTGAATGCTACTTATGGAGATGATTATAACATGCAACTAAGCAGCAGCCATAGGATTTCTGTGGTAAGATGCCATGAAATGCTTCTGACTTCTCTCAGGAATTTTTGAAAACAGTATGGAAATCTCTGACTTTGAAGCTTTGGTTCAGTTTTTGACCATTAATGTGGCTGATTATTGCCACTTGCTTTAAAGCACTTTCTCTTTTTCTGGCAGGTTTGTCAGCTGCCAAATTGCTGTCTGAGTCTGGGGTCAATGTGGTGGTTCTTGAGGCCCGGAACAGAGTTGGAGGAAGGACATTCACTATCAGGGTAAGTGCTTCATGAGATGCTGGACTCTCACTTGTGCTGGTCTACGACGTGGCAAATGTCACTCCTATCTTCAAGAAGGGCAAGAAGGAGGATGCAGGGAGCTACAGGCCAGTCAGCCTCAACTCAATCCCTGGGAAGGCGATAGAGTTACTAATCCTGGACACCATTTCCAGGCACATGAAGGACAAGAAAGTAATCAGTCAGCATGAATTCACCAAGAGGAAGTCATGCTTGACCAACCTAATAACCTTCTATGATGAAATGACTGACTTAGTGGATGAGAGAAGAACAGTGGATATTGTCTACCTAGACTTCAGTAATTCAACACTGTCTCCCATAAGATCCTCATAGACAAGCTGACAAAGTTGGGCTGGTTGAGCAGACAGTGAGATGGACTGAAAACCGGCTGAACAGCCTGGGTCCAAGGATGGGGATCGTGCTATGAAGTCTAGTTGGAGCCCAGTAACTTGCGGTGTACCCCAGGGGTCAATACTGTGTCCGATCCTGTTCAACATCTTCATTAATGATCTGGATGATGAAGGGACTGGAGCATCTCTCCTATGAGGAAAGGCTGAGAGAGATGGCACTGTTTAGCCCAGAAAAGAGAAGGATGAGGGGAGATCTCATCAGTGTATTGAAGGGAGGGAAGGAAGGGTGCAAAGAGGATGGAGGCAGGCTCTTCCCAGTGGTGCCCAGTGGCAGGGCAAGAGGCGATGGGCAAAAACTGAGACACAGGAGGTTTGAACCATCTGAACATTAGGAAACACTTTTGCACTGTGAAGGCGACTGAGCACTGACACAGCTTGCCCAGGGAGGTTGTAGTGTCTCCCTCCCTGAGATATTCAAAAGCTGTCTGGATGCAGTCCTGGGCAACTGGCTCCAGGTGACCTTACTAGAACAGGAAGGGTTGGACTAGATGACCTCCAGAGGTCCCTTCCAACCTCAACCATTCAGTGATTCTGTTGGGTTTGACATCGTTAGCCAGAGAGTAGAGGGGGAGTAGAGTTCCCAAAGAAGACAGGTGTCTCAAGTTGCCATCACTTTTGTCAAGTAATAGAGCTCTGTTTGGACAGGTTACATTGCAATATATGTCAGTGGGCTTCTCTTGACAGGAGATGCTTTAAAATTGGTCTGGAAGCAACTCTGAGAGCCATCAAGTAGGATTTGGGTGCCTAATGAGAAGTGTGTAGTGCCATTTTAGCTGCCCTAGGATACCTTGCCTGGCCTCCAGCTGCAGGTCTTCCATGGATCATGAGTCAAATTTGTCAGCCTTGCACAGAAGTCTTGGACACCTTGGGCTGTCTAAAATGGTGTTAAACATCTGTATTAAGGTAATTGAATTCCACCTACATAGTCCATACCCTTTGTCCATGGCAGGGTCTCCCCTGCCTTTAACATTACAGAGGGAAACTATCACCTGAGACTGTGAGTATCAAAGCATTGCTCTTCTCATTCCCATCTCACTTTGCATACTGTAACAGGCATGATAACTAAGAGCCCTATATGAAGCAGCCTGAGCAGGGCCAAACATCATTACAGCTCAGACATACATTTTAACATGACTTAAAATTATCTGAAGTAACACTCCTGCTTCTAAATATGGACCACATCTTGATTGCCATTAAAAAGAAAATGAAAGAAATGACAAGTCACCTGTGGCACAGGGTAATGTAATACAGACATTACCTCTGCTTTCCATCCGGGAAGTAAGGGAGATTTAAATTATGTCAGATGCCATTGCTGGGGAACCAGAGATAAACAGTGGTGTTTCATTAGAAATCATTGTCCGTGAAACATAAACACCATCCTTCTGTGACACTGAGAATGCCTAGCTTAAAATGCTCACTATGAACAGTGTTAAAAAGAGTTACTATCTTGGGAAATCAGCCGGCTTGTAATAGTATGCGTCCCTGAAACTTCTTGCTTTCTTCCTGCTTCCCAAGTGAGTGTGATGCTGGTCTAAGCAGTGTGTGGAGCACCTTCGGTGGCAGGCATGGCTGGGGGCTGCTAGCCAGAGTGCACCGGGCTAGAGCCAAGGTGTGCCATGCTGGAAGGGAGATTACTCTCCTTGAATACTGCAGTGCAGTACTCAGCATCTATAGCATTAAGTCTAAGCAGATACCTACAGGGAGAAAACAAGCCTTGGTGCTGGAGATGGTTTCAACTTGAGAAATGTTTTGCAATGACAAGAAAACTAACATAAATTCTGAAAAAGTGGGGTTAGACTTAACCAAAGTAGTGATTTGGTTGGATATTTCTTCATATTCTCATGTCTTTTGTGAGACTAAAAAGCCAATACTGAAAACTATAGTGAAATTTAAACGAGTTAAACCCGGTTGCTCACATGTGCATGGCAGAGTGAAGACACTGTGATTTCTGTGTGTCTGTCATTACAGAGCTCAATACTGCCTACTTTTAAGTCAGTCAGTACTCATTTTCTCCTGTGCATATAGTTGCAGTGCTAGTCAGTATGCAATAATGCTTTCTACTTCTAGATGTTTGTATTGAGGAGCTTTCTGCACAGCTTCTGATTCCTGTATTCTTTTTTTCAACAGAACAGTCAAGTTAATTACGTAGATGTTGGTGGATCATATGTGGGACCTACCCAAAACCGGATTCTCCGACTGGCAAAGGAGCTCGGTATTGAGACCTATAAAGTGAATGTCGAGGGCCATATAATCCATTATAAGGCGGTAAGTACCGCATCTTTCATTTTGAGATACTTAAAGGTATCATTGAGCTTTGGAAATTACTGACAGTCATTAAGAGGGTTTCATTTAACACTTGCTTTTAGTAATCCAGCAAGCACCTGTTTGAAGCGTAGTTATTCTATTTTAACCTATTGGGAGTGGGATAAATGGTTCTTGTTTTCTTTTGAAAAGTGTTCAGAAAATGGGACTGACAGCAGTTAAAAAATTTGGGATACATTCAGCACCTGATTATCTTTGAATGTACCCTGTAAAGAATTTTTGCCTGAAATTCAGAAAACACTTGTTCTGAAATAAAAGCCAAATTGAAATAAGAAAAAAAGTATAATACTGTTGGATACTATTGAATAATAGTACTAGACAATAGTGTTATGGGAGTCTGGGAGTAGTATAACGTATAGTTACATAACTAGATTCACATGAGATGCCTCCCAGTCCCGTAGCATGGGTTTCGTCTTACTTACAAATGGATGTCTGGAAGCTTGGTATCTAATTTGAGACTCACTGAGATTCCCCCTCTAGCTAACGGTGAGAAACAAGCCCCTCCCAAGGCTTGCTGTAAGCTCCATATCTGAGATGTAGGGCACGGGGGTCCAGATGGCCACTCTTGAGTAGGTACTTATGTAGCTAAAGTGAACTGGAATGAAACCTGCCTTCAGAGCAGATTTCTAGCCCTTGTGTTAGATCTTTAGCCCACCAGATTTTTGCTCAGTTCCTAGTCAGGACCTACTGCCAAAACCAGTGCAGAGGGAGAGCGGCAGGGAGAGGGACAGAGGCCTAAGATTCATAGGTATGAGGTACAAACTCCATAACTCACAAACTACTTTACTTCCAAAGACCATCACCTTTTATTTTTTTTAATATCCTTTAGTTTTGGTACTTCCCAGACTCTGGCAGAACAAGGCTTGAAGCCTATATGAGTCAGAGTTGACATACTTGAAAGAGGCAAGGCTATGTAATGGATTCTTAACTGGTTTAATTTCTATTATGTTCCCACTCTTTCCTCCAAGAATTAGGATACATTCATGCTGTAAAGTTTTCTCATCTGGTTCTGTAACCTCTCCTTACTGGACAGATTCATGCCATGCTCATAACATAGTTGCATCTTAAATAATTGCATAGTCACTCCATAATACTAAAAAAAGTTATTTTACACCACCTGGTGTAAAATTGGTGTAATTCTACAGCAAGATGGCTGCACTGATTTGTACCAGCTGAATGTTTGGCCCACTCTATTTGCTTTAAGCTCAGACATGGATCTCTTAGCATCCTAAAAGGCACTTATCTTCTCTATGTTAAATAAAAGGCTTTCATGGGTTACATGAATTTGAGCTCTTAATCCATTTTGACACTGAAGCTGCAGCTTTTTGTTGTCCCACATTACATTATGCACGTCCTTGCTAATGACCATGTAATTTCGTAAATTTTCTTTGAAGTGAAAGCATGTTTCTAAGCAAGAGGCAGCATTAGAAGCTATTCAGCTGGATCACAGGCTGTGGATCAGTTCTAGATTTGGCATCGTGGTCCTGCTGAGCTAACCAGGGTCCCCAAGGGAGGTGTAGTTGTTGGACCAGGGTGACAGCAAAGGGGCTTTAAGGTCTCCCAGCATGGTCAGTTAAGCACTGGATAAATAATAACGATGCTTTTCTTCCCACATCCTCTTTGCATGAATTGCAGGCTTTTTGTTTTCTTTACTTTTCCTAAGGTTTTCCACTGCTGCTTCTCCTTACTCTTTCCTTGAGACATCGTGTAGTCACTATGCCCTTTGTTTTAGTGATTTGTTGTTGAACCCTCTCTTAGATCCCATTTCTACAAGAAGCCTATTGAAAACAATCTGTGCAGTCCTGGCTATTGGCTGGGTTGGTGAGTGCTCAGGGCCCTTAGGGCTTGTACGTTTTACCTACCCACTGCACACTGTTATCGTGCTGTGATGGTGAGTCGACCAGGTAGGGATTTGTGCTCTTCTGGCTATAGATGTGCCCCTCATGTTCACTAAAGATGCTCCAGGAACCCAAACGCCTGTCGTATTTCCTAGATGATAGAAAATGTGTTAGCAAAGAGGTGATTTGGTATTAAAGGATCATTGCCCCAGAAATTAAATATTAATCTGAAAGATGGATGTGTTCAGCTTCTTAGGCTAATACGCTATCAGCCGTGGGCCAGCTGCTGCCTTTCAGGTTTGAAAAGTATGACTAAAACTTTTCTCCTTGAGTCTCATCTGCTATTTCTGTTGGCTGATGGATGTTGGGGAGCGTATAGCTGGGGTCAGACAGGAAGGTCTCTTCCCAAGGGCATTTCTCCAAAATCTGCAATGCTGTGTGGTTTTGACAGAGGCGAGAGGGGGAATGTCTTGAGGAATGATTAAACATGGCTTTAGATTTTGTTGTGACAGTCATTCAACTGTATATAATCTCCATCATCCTCAGATTAAGAGATTTTTGGTCTTTTGTTAACCATACTAATTGGTTCAGTTTGGCTCTTTCTGAAGATTTCCAGGATACTGCTTGGACTGAGTTAGGGGAAAGGGGGAAAATGGTTTATCCTAGCAGCGGAAGCAGCCAAGGGAAAGAAGAAATCCCCAGAGGCATTTCATGAGCTTCTTTGCTTTGAAAGGAATTTTTCCCGTATGTGTGTGGAAAAATTCCATGTACTGCAAGCTTTAAAAACTACGTTGCTTTGTGTAGGCATGTTTCCTTTGTAGTTACAGTTTATTTGAAAAATCAAAATATGTAACTATTGTTTATCTCTTCTTCTGTTTGTTTATTCTTTCCCATCAGTTAGCAAGGTAATGTGGACTGCTTTTACGCCAATTGGGAATTTGTCTGTGTCCTGTTGTTGTAAATCTGTAACTTCAAACTGTAGATTTTGTTACGAGCTCCAGACTTTGTTTCCAGCCAAATTGCTCTGTGGCTACTGTTCTGTAATTCATCAAGAATGCTTTAGGACTGAGAAAAGGCAGATGTGCTAGAGTTCTCCCTTCCCAGAAGAGACAGATAGCTTTTAATTTTTACAGAGGTCCTTGAAAGTCACTCTGTGCTCTGTCTTCACCTTCTCTTTAGTAAAAGACCCTAAAAGGTAAAGGCATTAGGGCCTTGGTATGGTATTAACCTTCTCATGTAACTGCAGTCCTCTAATATCTGGCAGCAGCACCCAGCTCCAGTATACATAAGATTAGTAAATAAGGACTGATTTTTCTTATTTGTTTGCTTATGATTTTCAGAGCAAGGTAACACTTGACAAAAGATTAGCATTTCTATGCAATGCTTCACACTGGCCATCTAGTCTTTTTTTCATCTAGCCTTAAGATTAAGATATTGGGATGCAGCGGGTAAGTCTGTGAGTAAGTCTGTGCAGATCACTGTAAATCTGCAGTTCGGACACAGGAATCACAGACAGTCCAAGGCACTGCAATGCTCACAAGGCTGGACCTGCTGGAGATACTGAGGAGTGAAGGATGCCCACTCAAGGGCTCGCACCATAGGGAGCCGCTGCTCTAGCTGTGTGTGCTTTGCATGGCCCAAGGGCGATAGAAATCCCTGCTCTGGGGCACAAGGGATGCTCCTCCTGTGCCTCTTGATATGTAGCTCGTCCTCAGCACAGTGGGCGGGAGCCAGACTTGCCTTTCTCAGTACTGGCAAATTTGTCTGCTCCTCTTGCACAAATTGAAACTTGGGGTGGTGTCACAGCTGGGTCGGCTTGGGCTTAATTCCTGTAGTTATGGCTACAAGCCACAGCGTAGCCCTCGGCAGGGAAAAAACAGATCTTGCAGAGCATATCTCTCTCTGCTGGCTTCTTTCTAACTGCTGAAGTATGGTGCTTGGGGATATTGTTTCCTTTGGATTGGTGTGGGGTAACTAATCCAGGCAGGCAGCAGGACTCAAATCTGAGGTCTGCAGGAAAGCATTCCACACACTAGGAAAGGAAAAAAAAGTTAGATAAACTCTGTGGGTCAGTCAAGCAGCCTTGTGTTAGCATGGGAACAAAGCCAGTAGGTTATTTGCCTTTCAGTTAAGAAAACAGTAGTTCTCAAAATTTAATACACCCAGAGCACTATAAATGTGTTTAAAAATGGAATATTGCAAGACCTTGCCTGCTTGCAGTGAGCTCCTCTATGAAACATGCAGCTAGAGCTCCTCTGCCTAGTAGGGAAACAGTATTAAAAACAAATTAATAACTTACCAGCTCCAGGTCATTTGGGCTAGATTTATTCCCTGCTGTGGAGAATCTTGTGCAAGAGAAAGAGTAAAACAAAAACTGATGTGGCTAAGGCTGTTTGGCTTGCGCTCTCTGATGGGCAGTGGGAATTTCTTTCCTGGAATTTGTTAGAATTGGGCTTTCCTCAGATCAGCTCCCACCTCTTATAGGTCCAGCCCCACTGCACAAGGAGTTAGTGTGTCTGTGAACTATTTCAGGTTCTCTGAATTCAGTCTCAGCCTCTTCCAGGTCTGTTAGCATTGTTGTATTTTTCCAGCTTTTCCTGGTGTCCAGTCTTAATGAAATTACGTTTTTTTTGCATGCAGAAAAGAGCAGCAAGTAATGCAACTTTAGACTGTTCATTATCAGTTGGCATTTCATAGTTCTTAGGGGATAAAATATGTTTTCCCATTGATCTTCCTGGGCTATGCCATTGACCAAAGATGTGGGGATAATAATATTTTCGAATCAGTAATGAAAGAATAGTTCTTTTTTCAAATAGCAGATGAATACTAATATGATACACATCATACCAGTGGCTGAGGTTGTCAGATTTCTTTATCAGTCCTCAGCAGTTTGTGGTTATGGTGGTCTAAAGCTAGCATAGAGGTGGAAAATTTGAAGGAAAATATCAGGTAGCCAGGCAGTGGGCAAGTTCTCTCACTAATTGCCCCATCTGCAGCAAACAGGATAGTCTGGGAGTTCCTGAACCTGTAGCTGTTGAACATGGTAGGGTTAACACTGGGAGTTGGAAAAGCCTTTTTGGTGCAAACCTCAGCACAGAGTTACTGAGAGAGACTTTTCTTGGGCTGTTGTTTCCAGCAATAGAAGGAATAGGTTTGGCTGAAAACAAGAGGAAGAGAGGAGCCTTACAAGCAGTTACTATTTTGACTTTCTTTTTTAAAAAAGTGCTTCTTTTTGGGGGTAAGTAAGCCAAGGATAGGTATTTGCAAGTTACACCACTCAGTACAAGCAGTCACTTATCAGAAAGCTGTGTGAAAAGAAGTCTTACTGAACAGTGGAAAAACTTTGGAAGTTTTCCCTGCTACTCCTGCAACAGTGGGCTTATCTTTTACCTTTGTCTGCTTGCAATATTGGCATGACAGAACTTCAGTAATAACTTATCTGCACCTGTTGTTGGGTAACCTGACAGCATTGCATCTCATCTCTGCTTAAGGGCAGGATTATTGGTGTTAAAGCATGTCAAGGAAGGCACATTGATAGCACCTGCATTGCTGACCAGAATAAAAAGTCTAACAATAAATGAACTTTGAAGGAGCAATGTTTGATGACCTTTTTGAAGAACAAAATGTTGTGCAATAAGAAGAAAATTATTAGCAATTTATTGCTGCTTTGTATCAGAATTTCCTTGTTTGATAAAACACTGGTTTATGACAGTAAAAGCTGTGGCATGCAGTATATTACTTTGCATGCGTTTTTTGGTCCTCTTTTCCATGGCTGAACACACAGTGCTCCAAACTGGCAGTGAAAAATCGTGCTCAAGGAAAAGGAAGAGGCAATGTTGTGCAGAGGATTCCCTTGCTGGTAGTTCATAGGAGCATTATCTCTGCTCTTGCCGTGGCAGAAGTGTGTTTTGGGTGCACACATGCACCTGGAGAAGACTGGAGCAGCATCCTCCACCCACTTTCCTCCAACATAACTCTCTAAACCAGAATGAAATGGGGATAAAAGAGAGAAAAAACGTATGTGGTACACAAGATTAAGATTACATACTCAGAAATCCAGAGGTAACCAACCACCTCCAGAGTCATCCTGGTGTTTTGAAAAGAAAACTAAGCATTTGTTGGAAATTTAAAAAAAAACCTTTAAGCACTTGGATCTCAAGCTGAACTAAGTGCTGAGATCACAACCTTGAGCTTTGCTTGACCCAGAGCAGAGATTACTCTGTCTAGATGAAACGGGAGAGCATTTTTGCTGCTGCCCTCACTGAAGAAGGGCAGGAGGCAAAGCATGGTGGGCTGCGAGCCTGGCCAGCTGCTGGAGCTGGGGCATCACTGCAGCCATCCTCTGCAGAGAAAGGGACCAAGCGGTGTTGGTCACAGCAAGACTTCTGTTCCCTACATGCGTACTCTTGTCTCCTCCATTGTACCTGCCCTGGAGATGACAAAAGTTTACCAAAATGTGGCTTTTTTCCAAGTCTGAAAGCTCACTATGGTTTCCAAGTTTCATGTTGCACCTTGTATTTTTGTTATGGTCTTTGCAGAAAAATGTTTTGAAGAGTATCAGAAATCTGTATGTATTTACACGCACACGGACGATTATCAGTGGGGAAGACCGATAAATTCTCTCTCGCTGAGTGTGGGGAAGGGGTATTTGGCTCCTGCTTTGTGTCCCCTGTCTGTGGGTTACCATCTCATGCATTTGCAGCACTGCAGCCTCTTGCTTGGTCTGTGACTCTCACCTGCGAGGTGCGATGGGCTGGCATGCTACACGTTGCACTGAAAAGCACGTGGCATGCAGCTTGGCGTTACAGCTCGTACCTGTCATGGTCCAGCATGTTCGCTGCATCCTGCCACGTGACCTCATGCAAACTTCTAACACACCTGGAAGGGCAAATATTTAAGAGGTCTGATGAGAAATTTGCCATTGACTTACATAGGGGAACACTCAAAGCAATTTAATAAGAGAAAATGTTGCTTGCTCATCCAGTCGTCTTTCAGATAAGTTATCACAAACAACCAGCTGCTGTTATATGGTTTCACTTATCGTTATATCACAGGATTATCTGAAACAGTCTGTATTCCTGGTGTGGCTATGTGTCATACACATTGTAAGTACTGATACCATTTTTGCAAGTGTACAAAATTTTATTCCTGCAGCCAAAACCTTTTTTTTTTTAGGCTAGGTTTCTCCCAAGGTACTTGGCATAATAAAGAGGTATGTTTGCTTTCTATAGATGAGGTGTACCATAAAGTTGCATAGATAGTTTAAAAGATTAAAACACATGCAATTTTAGACTCATGCAAATTTTAGGATGCACATTTCAGCAGGTGGGAAAACATTAGATTCATTCATATGTAATAATGAAGAATGCTTAGGAACAAGGAATATTACCTCCTTGACCATTGCTTGAGTCTCCTTAGCCCAGAATTTGACAACCTGCTCAGAACAAGTGTACCCCTTCCCATCCCCTCTGAATAAAAAAAAAAGTGTTATTGTCCTTTTTAATGTCAGCCCAACTGTTTTTTCCCCTCATACTTAGCTTCATGCATTTCCATTGCTTACATGCATATGCAGGAAAAAAAATTTTAAAAAAGGAAAAACAGGACTTTTGGGGCAAAAGGTCAGCCATGTGATGACTTGCTTGGGCAATCCCAAGCACAAGGACAGGCTGGGTGATGAATGGATTGAGAGCAGCCCTGCGGAGAAGGTCTTGGGGGTGTTGGTCGATGAGAAGCTCAACATAAC